GAGGGACATATGTGGTGAAGCACGACGTAAACAGTGGCATAAATTTCATAACTATCATGGATTCGAAGCCCGTCTCAATAGCTTCAACTGCAGCAGGTGTCAATCCTCTATCTATTTCAAAAAGATACAGCGCAGAGGCTAAATCTAAAATTGAAATACCTTTTCCGCAAGCTTTTCACCTATATAACAAATTCATGGGAGGTGTTGACCTGCATGACGGACATTGCAATGACATACTCCTAAGTATACGATCAAAAAATGGACATGGGTAGTTTTTATGAGACTTATACAGGCGTCTATTACTAATTCTCTTGTAATTTTCAATGCTGCTAACGATGGAAAGAAAAAAGTTGGAATAAAAGAGTTCACTATTTCGATTGCCAAATACTACTTACAAAAAAGTAGTCGCAAAAGTAAAGCACATGAACGATCTAATAGTGACAAATTGAGGATTTGTTTGAATGGAAACTGTCCAATAAGAACAAAAATTTTCTGCAAAACATGTAATTTAAATATTTGCAATAAATGTTGGCTAAAAAAGCACAGCTAAAAGTATGAATAAGTGAGAGGCAAGGGGACTCACGGAAAACAAGCACCCCGAGACGTGAGAGGCAATTACATAGGAAAAAATCACTTTGAAAACGTGCAAGAAATTTTGACATTTTGGACGTTAATGGGTTAAAAAAGTAAAAATAATGACTATCAACGGAAATCATATTCAGGTCATAAGAAATATCCTTTGATTAAGCCATTTACTATTTGCACCACAAACGGGTTCGTCGTAGATGTTCCTGGTCTGTTCTTAGCTACGGAAAACGATGCAAGTATTATGAAAAAAGTGATGGAAGATCCGAATGGTGTAAGAACTATCATGAGAGAAGGTGATGTTTGTATTGTGGATAGAGGTTTTAGGTGTGTGGTACCTTATTTAGAAAGCCTTGGATATAGGGTTCTTATGCCCGCCTTGAAAGGGAAAAGGCCCAACTTGACAACATCTGAATCAAATGAATCTCGTTATGTTACAAAATTGAGATGGGTAGTAGAGGCCGTTCACGGTATTCTCGGGAAAAAATATAAACTTCTTCACCAACAGTTGGATAACAAGCTTCTACCAAAAGCTGGCGCATATTGTAGAATCGCTTGTTTTCTCAACAACCGTTTTGGAAAGCGTTTGAACAGCGATAAAGATGAAGATGGATTGCAAGACATAATTATTGAAAGAATGCTGAAATGTAATCAAGATGAAAATACTTTGGCATCAGAAGTTGCGACAGCCAGATGGTCTAGACGATCTACTACTATGACTAAACTAACGTCAAATGAAATAACTGACTTTCCGGAGATGACTAAACGGGATCTTATGATTTTTTTTTCAGGTACCTATCAAATAGTTCAAGCCGTCTGTTATCTGGCTGAATTAATGGATGATAATCAACATATTAATTTGGAGTATGTTAAGGTGAAACCAAATATTATTAAAGTATTAGTAAGATCCAGGCATATAAATAGCAAGACCTATAAGTGCTACGTTGAATACAAGCCTAATTCAATCGGCTATAGCGGTATTCTACGACACGCATGCGACTGTGCGAACGGATTACGAACTGTAGGCTCTTGCTCACATATCGCAGCAGTTATATACTATCTCAGTAATGCTAGATATCAATCGAAAATTATTAGACCAGCAAAAATTTTTTCTCATTTGTTTTCCTCCATAGATATTGATCCAGTTATAAATGAAGATAGTGATGAAGATTAAGAATAATATTGTAATTAAAATTGATAATGTTAAAGTTCTTGTAAATTTTAATTGATATGGATTTATCACATTTACATTGACAATACATTTCATGAACAAATTGAATGCACATATTTATATTTTTATAAACATTATTATAATTTCTACTATAATTATATACTTACTTACTCAAGGATATTATTTCATTATAATAATTGATAATTTCAAAATGATACAGAGTTTCTCTGTACTTGAAGTTGGCTGAATAGGCTCTTTGCCAGTTCCAGGGAAGTAATATTTGACTTTATGAATTTTTAGGAGTTGGAAAATTTTTCTAAACTAGTTTTTGGTATTCTTGCATACAGAAAAAGAGTCCTGGAGTATTTTTAGGTATTTTAGTACCTGGTGAAGTATCTAATTTTGAGGTTATGTGCTAAAAACATGGGAAAAACGCGGAAAATAATGGTTTTTCAGTTTTTGAGCATGTTCCGGTCAAAATATGATAATTTGAATAAATGCATTCGAAAGTATGGGAAAAAATAGATAAAAAATGATTATGTAGATGTTAGCCAAATATAACCTTCATAACCTAAAAAATCATTGAAATTTCAATAATTTTTTCTGACTTCGATTTTTATGCAAAAAAACTGGAAAATATCGGGCTATTTTGTAGTAAAAAATTTAATATCCATAAATTTTTTCAGAATGTTTGGAGCAAACAGTAAAGTAGGAGAAATTATTTTCACAAAAATCCGTTTTTTACGATTATGGCATTCTATTGCCACCTAGGGGTTGTAACAAGCTGCCGTTTAGTCTATAATCTCTTGAATGTACCTTTATTAAGACTAGACGACGCCTAGTTATCTATGTGCTCAAAGCACAGTAACCTACCTTGTCTCGGAGTGCGCCTGCGCAGAGTTTCTTCACTACTCCGAGTTGGGTTCCCCCAACTCGCCGCTTGGCGGCGCTGTCGCCCTTGCTTAGTAGCGCTCGTGCGGCCGCCGCTGGAACCTAAGTTGACGATTCCTGTCTACCGATATCCGCGCGATCCGTGCTACGCTACCGGCGAATTCGAATCAAAACAAACAAATATAGACGCGACCTCCGGACAAAGGAAAGACACAATAACGATGACTAGATTAAATAAAGGCTAACGTTCACTTTATTCATGTAATTTAATTACACGGGGGTTTTGCCGAGAGTCTTGCGCACGCTTGCGCGAATAACAATGCACGCCGTATGAGAGAGAGAGAGAAGACCCGTTCGCCGCGAACTAACCGCTCGCACGCAACAATTAATTTCCTCGCGCACGCTGCGCGGGATCGCACGCTGTTAACAATAATAAAAAGGGGAAGGTGCACCTACCGCGAGAACGATGAGGATACGGTGGCCAACCGTATCCGAACAACACGCTGCTAATAAGCTGCTTCGCTGCTTGCCGCACCACCTCGATTACTGTTGTTGCTGTTGTTGTTGCTGCTGTCGCTGCTATTACTGCTGCTGCTTTTGCTGCTGCGGCTATTGCTGCGGCCACCCCCGCACTCAAGTCACGCTGTTCGCTTAAGCACCACCAAACGAAAAACGCGATAAAGGCACGGAAAACAGGTTAGCGACAATGCAGGCCGACTGAGTGACACAGTCATACTGCCTGTTGAACGCTCCCCTCCCGGTCATTGCCCCTACGCGCCCTCTCTCTCTCGCGAACCGATCGCGGCTTTTCTCGATCAGCCGCTCATTAACCTCGCGCGAGTCGAACGATTTACGCTAATCGTTGCAGGGTCTGAAAATTTAGGTGAGAGAGCCTCCAAATATGCTCTTTCGAATGACTGATCCTCGATAACGATTCATTCTTAGGCAATTTTAACATTGTTAACCCGTTATAGCCTTTGAAATAATTTTTATTGATATCGGAAATCGCTCCAACATATTTTGTATAGGCTAATTATACTTTACCAATTGTCAATTTACCTTTCCCGAACACAGTATATCTAGATTTTTATATTTTTCGTCTATTCTTAAATTTTTCAATTCTTTTATTTTGTGAAAAACACTTTAATTAAATAATGTTCTTTCTTTACGTATTTAGCATATTGATAAACAGAGTACCTATAGTTTGATTTTGAAAACGTCAGATTTTTTTAACAAAAGTCAAACAAGAAAGCGTAACGTATAATAACATAAAATGTTATATCATCAGCGAACCTATGAATGAATTCTTCGTTAACGATTAGTTTGTGAATCTGAGTTAAGTTACGCATAATTATAGTCCAAAAAATGAACATAAAAATGCCCTTCATATTAGTCATCAATTTATCTGCATTTCTATCTTTTTTCGAATTACTAAAAACATACTTATATACTTTTAAAGCTGTGTCCTGCTATTTCTTGGGTATTAATCATTGCTATATAAAAGTGTGGGCAATACTATCAATATACACTAGTGGAAAAAATTAAAGGATAAAAAAAAAATTCCATTTTTTGACGCTTTTTAACTGGCTGTATTTCCCTTGAAAATGCTCGTACTGAAATTTAAAAAAAAGCGTTTTTAAGTTTGAAGTTTCTAGTTTTGAGATCTCAGAATCAAAAAATTTTTCAAGCAACATGTTCTGCTCAATCCTCATGAATACCAACAAAAATTTTTTATTAAATTTTTTTAGTTCTTTTTTTTAGTCTACGACCTTGGAAAAAACTTTTCTAACTCAGCCACTATATGATAACTTGTTTATTCAGCTTTAATTTGCATTTTTGAAAAGTTGAATACCCCCACCTCTCGCTGAGATATCGAACTTTAAATGGAAAAGGATCTTTGTGTCTTTAACCAACAATATCTCAGCAACCGCTGATTGCACAAAAAATGAAGGTAGATTTTGAAATCTTGAATAAAGGACCCCGCACAAACCTTATAGAAAAAAACTTTCTGTCAAATGTTCCTAAAATTTGGGAGAAGGTAGCTAATATCATGTAGATTAAATGTCTACATGGGTCCAAAGCTCGCCTATGGCTGGGTTCCGAGATACCAGGGTTCAAACACAGGCAAAACGACGGATTTCTGGATCACGGTTATTGACTTTATTTTCATGTTGTTTAACTCACAGACACGCACACACTCATGCGCGGTATATTATATATATATATATTGTCTAACGACGGTGCCGGTGGTGGTTCCGTGGGGCCGCTTGGCAGGGGGCCGTATCTACATCCAATTATTATATATATATATATATAGATAGATATTTTTTTTCTTTTCTATAGTCCACCCTATTCAGCCATTATGTAAATCAGGATCTATTATTTCAATACCATTCGGGTTGCCTATATCCATCTGTGCGTTCATTACAGTATGTAAAAGACGGAGTGAAGGGTAGTGAACATTTCCTTCGTGATGTCTTGCGTAGGAGAGATACCAAATAATGGAAGCGATGTGAGCACAAGTTCCTAGAGTTCGAGCTCCTGCTTTACACGTGCAATAATATCCGAGAATTGGATCTTGTTCCCCGTGTTCTCCGCCGTTATGTTCTTCGTCAAAAGCGATCCACAATTGATATCTAGTAGCATTTCTATAACGCGAAAACAGCCGGATTCTTATGAATCCCGGTTCATTTGTATTGGCATCGATTTCAAACGTCATATCTTCTTGCTCGTCATCTTCCCGTTCAGCTCTTAAAGAACTATCTTGCATGTAAGATGGTGCCAAGTACACTTGGTATGTTCCAAAAGTCAGAGCTTGTAACTCATTCACAGTCATCTGAGGAAATAATGGTATATGAGCTGGAGTTAAGAGAATCCAGCGAGCTCTTCTTCGTCCGAGATTATCAGCTTCTACTCTTGCCTGTACTATATTTACTTGCTGTGCTTGTTCGAGCATATGATTGGCCAAGGCTTCATTGGCATTTGGCATATTTATAGGTCCATAATACCTATTTATGATTGCACCAGCAATACGTAGGAAATCTGACAAGTTTGTGGCATGAGACGTTGGTATTGTATTGGAAAAAAATGAAAAAATACTTTTTAGATGCCCGTTGCGCGCTTCGACAATCCACCTCGTTTTAGTCACTATGCGAGACTCATTAGCTTCTTCAGTTCGAAACTGATTTTGATTACGATCCAAAAGTGGTGGCATTCTCGTTATCAGGCCTATTCCTTGCAAAGTTTGGATTGAGTTTTGGTATCCACGATCTACTATAACTATATCACCTTCTTGAAACCAATTCTGCATTCCATTAACATCTCGATTGAGTTCATTCAAAAGGATTCGAGCATCATTGTTAAGTGCATTCGAAAAGTATGGACCTTGAATATCAAGAATGTATCCATCAGGGCCAACAATTACTGATGGTTTCACGAGATGTTTATGTTTATGCACGCAAAAGGACTGTCTTAAAACTTGGAAACAAGAACTCTTCTCGATATCAAGATAAGTACAATCTATATAAACTATTGCTCTCGGATATTGGGGCGTATGGTTGTACAATTGATTTGCAAACGGTGTGACATGCCTTTCAATGAATTCTTCTCTAGTCATAGCGTCAAATCCAATATTTCCATGGCAAAATCTTGCAGATAGTGATTGTCTTACTGTAGCTATTTGCATACCGGTACTCTGTCGAGAAGGATAATAAAACATTACACATAAAAAGTCATCACTCAGACTGTGACTCAACTTACATAAAAAGCACAGAAGATCCTTTTTGCTAATATACCTATGTCCTCTTGGCACAGGTACTGGATCGCAGAAAGAATAAAGATCGTTGAATTGGACTTTTGTTAAAGAGTAGAGTGTTTGAAACTCCTCATTGGTTACACCGTGCTCGTCTTCATATCTTCGTTCCGCACTTCGTTTTATTTCTTCGCGCATTCCTTGTAAGAACGATTGAGCCTCTTCACCATTTAAGCGGTATGGTCTATTAATGTATCTCAGTCCTTCAATTAAAGCTTGCAATAACCATCCCCTTTCATCTAAGTGAAGCCTGCAGCAAACATGAGTTCTGGGAATATATATGTTTCTCTTAACAAAAATATCAACTCTACATTCTAATGTCAATCTATGAATATCATTGATACCATTACATACCAAACAAGTTTGAGACGAAGTTTGAGATAAGACATTCAATCTCAAACACTGTGGGTCATTGGCCAAAATCTCAATTTCACGACGGATTGTTACGATGCAGTTATTGCAAACTCGCGTATCGGGAGTTACTTCAGCTGGTGGTCTACCGTTTTCATCGCGTCGTGCTATAGCTATTTCACATACGATAGCATTTTCATCACCACATATGAATGCCATTACGCGTGGTATCTGTCGGTTCTCACATGTGTAGCATTCATGTCGTACCCGGAAGGCCATTGTTCTGTTACTTTGGTGAGTCAGTTGTTCCCTGCTATACAAATGATGAAGGAACAATCACCCCCAACTGCGACTGAGCTTCAACTATCCTGAAACGGACTATTGAAGCAACACCGACCAGCCAACTGCAATGGAACTCCAATTATCCTGAAAAGGACTATTGAAGCAACACCGACCAGCCAACTGCAATGGAACTACAATTATCCTGAAAAGGACTATTGAAGCAACACCGACCAGCCAACTGCAATGGAACTCCAATTATCCTGAAAAGGACTATTGAAGCAACACCGACCAGCCAACTGCAATGGAACTACAATTATCCTGAAAAGGACTATTGAAGCAACACCGACCAGCCAACTGCAATGGAACTCCAATTATCCTGAAAAGGACTATTGAAGCAACACCAAACAGCTAACTGAGATGAAGATGACTAGCAAGAAGATATGACGTTTTAAATCGACACCACTGCAAATGAACCGGGATTGACAAGAATCCAGCTGTTTTCGCGTTTCAGAAATGCTACTAGATATCAATTGTGGATCGCTTTTCACTACGTCTTTTACATACTGTAATGAACACACAGCTGGATATAGGCAACCCGAATGGTATTGAAATAATAGATCCTGATTTACATAATGGCAGAATAGGGTGGACTATAGAAAAGAAAAAAAATATTTATCTATATATATATATATATATATAATAATTGGATGTAGACACGGCCCTCTGCCGAGCGGCCCTACGGAACCACCACCGGCACCGTCGCTAGACATATATACATATATATATAATTATATATTACTATCAGGGTGGGTTATTTTAAGTGGACCAGTAGGTTTTCTCGGAAACTATGAGAGATAGCGAAATATTTTTCATACAAAAGTTGCTCAATTTCGAGGGGGTCAAATTCCTATGACCTCACCTTTAACCTTGGAAGCCATGTTCAATGTCATTTGAAGGTCAACTTTGTTTTCTTAAATGGGAACCCCTATTTTTGACCCCGGATTCGGAAAGAGCGGGAAATTAAAACCTTTTTTTTGTTTAGGCTTCATGTGTGCTGGATAAAATTGGGTATAAATTCCCGCTCTTTCCGAATCCAGGGTCAAAAATAAGGGTTCCTATGTAAGAAAACAAAGTTGACCTTCAAATGACCTTGAACATGACCACTAAGATCAAGTTAAGGTCATGGGACCCCACATATGTTACTTCATCTGAACATAGAATTTTCCGATCTTTCTGAATCCGGGGTCAAAAATAGGGGTTCCCATTTAAGAAAACAAAGTTGACCTTCAAATGACCTTGAACATGACCTTCAAGGTTAAAGGTGAGGTCATGGGAATTTGACCCCCTCGAAATTGAGCAACTTTTGTCTGAAAAATATTTCGCTATCTCTCATAGTTTCCGAGAAAACCTACTGGTCCACTTAAAATGGCCCACCCTCTATAATTGGGTAAATGGTGAAAAAATATATAATGATCACTTACAAATAAAATCTTACTTACTAAGGAACAAAAACCACAAATACTATCTTATTCACGCGTAGAATTATTTGATCTGTATTTAAAAAAAAACATATCATTTACGCTATAGCGTAAGAAAATGGATATACACTTACTGCAAAGATTTGACGTGTTATTAGGAGTTCTAATATTCTCTGTTTTCAACAAAAGAATGTCTCAGAAGGATTTTTGATTGGACCAAAAATCCTTTATTACGAGCTGAACCAGTCACAGCAGCTATGGGCCAAAGAGAATTCGAACAAATAAAATCTCATATAAAGTATATTCATTGCCAACGGATGAGGATAAAAACGATAGAATATGGCGAGTACGAAAACTGTTGAATATTTTTAGAGAACGCTGTGTCCAATTTGGAATTTTTATAACTGCCATGTCTATCGATGAAATGGTGTTCAAAGTTTATGGACTCAAACAGTACATCAAAGCTAAATCTATCAGGTTTGTTAGAAAGGATAGAATAGATGAATCGAATAACGTAGATGCAAAGGCATCTCGAGGTACTTATGGAGTAAAATATGATACAAATAGTGGTATAAACTTTATTAACGGTAATGGGTTCGAAACCCGTATCAGTTTTATATACAAGCACAGGTGTTATACCAATTTCATCTGTGAAACGTGTGAACTAAAGCAAAAATCAGAAAGTTGATATACCTTTCTCGAATGCATTCACTACTTACGAGTATGATAAGTTTAAGGGAGGCGTATACGTTCAGACCAGCACTGCAACAAAGTACTACCAATAGTTTGATCTAAAAAATGGACTTGGATTATTCTCATAAGAATATTACAGGTAGCTATAACGAATGCTACTGTATTATATAATACAGCTTCTAATAATGATAAAAAGTTGATAAAAAAGGAGCTTATTTTAAAGGTTTGCGCAGCTTACCTAAATAAGTCAAAAGTAAAACCAGTACTAAATCACATTTGGCACAGTAATTAAAAATAAAAGTATTGCTCTGGTTCTCAATAAGTAAATAATAAGGCAGAGAATGAAAGCTCATGCAAAACAATCAAATATTGATTGTGTACTTTACAGTACAATAATGGTAAAAATAAAAAAAGTGATAAAAAAAAGAAAGAAGAACAAAAACAAAAACAAAAAAAGTGATTCTGGATAAGCATCTGCGAGGGGGGGTCAATAAGTCATTACAAAAAGAAGGAAAAAAAAGTTTTGCGTATGTAATTTTTTTTTATTTTTCAACATAATCTTCTTGAAGGTCGATACATTTTATTAAACGGCCTTCCAGTTTTTTTAAACCATCAGAAAAATATGATTTCTGAAAACCCCCAAAATAGGCATTTGTTTCGGCGATGACTTCTTCATTCGACGTGAATCGTTGTCCGGCAAGCCATTTTTTGAGGTGAGGAAATAAGTAAATGTCATTGAGAGCCAAATCAGGCGAATATGGTGGATGGTCAATTAATTCGAACTTTAAATCGTTAATTTTTGCCATCGCAACTGCACACGTGTGAACTCGAGCATTGTTTTGAAGAAAGAGGCATTTTTTTTGTTCAAGTGAGGACATTTTTCTGTGATATTTTCGTTCAGCTGACCTAATAATGACGCATAATATTTTCTAGTGATCGTCTGGCCCTTTTCCAAGTAGTCGATGCAGATTATTCCATATGCATCCCAGAAAACCATGGCCATAATCTTGCCAGCTGATTTTACTCTCTTTGCCTTCTTTGGGGCTGGTTCTCCTGCGGTAATCCATTGTTTGGACTGTTCTTTGGTTTCAGGATTGTAGTGGTATACCCATGTTTGGTCTACAGTTACGAGTCGACGCCAAAAGTCTTCCGGATTACGACATATGCGTGCCAAAAGAGCCTCAGAGGTGACCAAGCGGATTCGTTTGTTTTCAACAGTGAGCAAACGCGGCACTAATCTTGCTGAAATTTTTTTCATCCCTAATTTTTCATGCAAAATTGAAATAATTGTACCCTTTGATACCCCTGTGGCCTCAACTAATTCTCGCAATTTTAATCTTCTATCACTCAACACCATATCGTGGATTTTCTTGACCATTTCGGGCGTACTCACTTGTACGGGGCATCCTGAACGAGGTTCATCTTTTGTTGTTGTACGGCCGCGTTTAAATTCATTTACCCAGTTATAAACATTCTTAAACACAGGGGCAGACTTGCCATAAACGGCGTTCAACTCAACTGTGATTTCTTTTGTAAGGCCTTTCAAATGATAATGTTTTATCACCGCTCGAAACTCTGTTTTTTCCATTTTTCAAATAAACCAATAACTTTTTGTTCAACCAACGCTCACAAAAAAACGACTTAATGAATCGAGCTGAAACTTTGTACGATATATAGTTAGTAGTATTGCTTGCCAAAAACATCATAACTTAAGCGTGACGAGCGCCATCTCTAGGATTTTGTAAAAACTTATGACCCCCCTCGTACCTTCATGTGGTTAGAATTGGAAACATTTTTATAGGTTGAAAAATGGCTAAAAGGTCTTATAATCATATATTAAAAATTAATATTCAATGTTAATCATATTTGTACATTAATTGCTAATTTTCTATATTTATGACGTTTGTAAAGGATAATAATCAACTTTAGAAAAAAATTTGATAGAACAAAAATTGCTTAAAATTATTCAAAAGTTTTTGTTTTTTTTTAAATATTTTGAGAGTTTTGGATTTGACTGTTCTTTTTTAAAAACTCAAAAACATCTCCAAAAATTTTTTAAAAATTCATACGTTTTTTTAACATGATTGTAAACACGTTTTGTTCTATAACATTTTTTTCTAAAATTGACCCTCCGTCAGTTGAAAAATAATGAAAGTTTAACTTAACATTGCACCATTTTGGACGCTATTTTGAATTAGGAAACATGAAATTTGTTTTTTGAAGTTTATAACTTTTAAGTTCGAGGTTTAATTGTAAGATTTTTATAGGTTTTATGCCAAAAGAACAGGTGATTCTAGGTGAAAATGACGTTTGAAATATATCTAAAAAATCGTGTTTTATTTATTTAAATCTAAAAATTTAGTGGTTTTTTAAAAATTTTCGGAATTTTATTTAATTTACATTTCAATTATCGTAGGTAAAATTTATTTTTCGAATATTTTTTCTAATACATCTTGAATTTAGTAAAAGTTCATCGATTTATATTAAAGATTTTCAGCCCACTCGGTCCACGATTTCTAGGCTAAATAAACGTTCGAAAGTTGTTTTTGTTTATATCTCGCGAACGGCTTGGAAAACGTTAAAATAATATAGACTAATTGAAAGAATGTTGAATTTTACGTTACAAACATTACTTTGCTCAATTTCGACAAAAATAAAATTGCGCTGAAAAAATTAATATGTGATATCGCTCGTCAAAATCAATCAATAAAGTAATTAGTTATTAACAATAAACCGTTAAACAACACCATTTTTGGAATAGTTTTTTATTTTGCAATAAATATCAAAAATAATAGTAAGTAGTCTGAAATGATGCACTTTCATCAT